GGAGCCAGCAGTCGGAGGGGGCTGGGGGTCCCCGGCCCAGGCCTGACGCCTCTGGCAGAGGTGTCAGGCCTGGGCAAGGGGCCGATCCTGCGATTGGAGATTGATGGGGGTCAATGCCTGAGGGCTCCCAGTATGTGAGAAGGGGGCAGGCTGGGCTGAGGGACACTCTTCCTCAACCCCACCCAGTGCACGAATTTCGTGCACCGGGCCCCTAGTATCTAATAACACTTTTGTGAATATACTTCAAGAGAGGTTTCCAGGAATACATTTTGGTATATTCTGTTTGCTTCTCTAAATCAACTTTCCATCATTTTCCACCTTGCTCTCTAGTCAAGATGGCACCAAAGGATAATATCAAAAGGTTCTTTTCCCCCTGCTTTACTTTGGTCTAATGGGGAGGACAGGGTAAGAAAATTTTATTAGCATCATTGTCCAGGTGCTTATGGCTGTCTGAATTCTTGAGTGGAGGTCTCTACTTTCTGTGACCCCAGTAGAATGTCTCTGTCCTTTCCTTCTCGCTTCGGTAACAAATTAAATAACTTTATTACTATCCCTGAGACACTGCAAAGCCCCTACACCTTGCATGCACATTGATAAATGGCCCCTTTATCAAATTACCACAGTTGAATATACCATTCATTTTTAGATAGAGAAAGAATAAGAAGATAAAAGAGGAGGAGGAAGAAGACAAGAAAGAGAGAGGGTAGAAGCTGGGGAGGAATGGAAGGTGAAGGGAAGAAGAGGGGGTGGATTTGATTCTATGGAAAAGAAAATGAAGGATTCTGCTAAATTTCAATAATGTAAATAACAAGATATTATAAATAGTAATGTAATGAATAATAGGGTATATATTATTATTATAGTTATTTAAGATTTTTTGTTTTGTGTTCAGGATATTATAGAAAAGGTGTGGCAGCCATTCAATCAATGTAGCTTTATAATTGTTTCTCTTTCTCTATGACTCCTGTTCCTTGCTATCTTTTATAGCTCAGTAAGATGAAAACAAAAACATCCAAAAATTTCAATTTAGTCATTTGTATAAAAGTGATCTCCTACACTCCCATGTGCAATTTCTCCTTTATTCTCTATCTTCTTATTAGTTCATTTATCCTGGTCTTTCATCTTATCTTGAAACTAAAGGCCCAGTGCATGAAATTCTTGCATGGGAGTAGTGGGTCCCTCAGCCAGGCTTGCACCCTCTCACAATCTGGGACTTCTGGGGAACATCTGACTGCTGGTTTAGGCCTGATCTCGCAGGGATCCCTCAGGGATTGGGCCTAAAGCAGCAGTTGGATATCCCTCTTGCAATCAGAGACTACTGGCTCCTAACCGCTACCCCTTCCTGCCTGCCTGATTGCCCCTAACCACTCTCTGCCTGTCTGCCTGGTCACCCCTAACTGCTCACCTGCCTGCCTGTTTGCCCCTGACTACTCTGCCTGCCTGCCTGATCACCCCTAACTGCTCAACTGTCTGCCTGATGGATCCTAACCGCTTCTGCCTCAGCCCTCAACAGGGCAGGTTCACCAGGAAGGTCGTCTGGAAGAAAATCCGGAATGACGTCCAGAAGATCATTTGGCTATCCAGTCTAATTAGCATATTATGCTTTTATTATTATAGATAGAGTCAAATATATGGTTTGTGTTGGAGCTGACATTCCTTTGCGGCAATTTGGCATAGGGTTTCTATTACTCAGATAAGGCTTTCATTACAAAATACCACGGACTGGGTTGGTTTAGATAACAGAAATTTATTTTCTCACATTTCTGGAGATTAGAAGTCCAGGTCAAGTTGCCAAAAGGGTTGCTTTCTGGTAAGGCATCTCTCCCTAGGTTATAGAAGGCTGTCTTTTCACAGTGCCCACACATGACCTTCTTTAGTATATGTATAGAGATAGATATCTCTGCTGTCTTTTCCTCTTTTATAAGGACACCAGTCCCATTGGATTAGAGGCATACACTCATAAACTCATTTAATCTTAATTACCTCTGTAAGGCCCAGTCTCCAATATATAGTCATATTGGGGATTGGGGCTTCAATAAATGAATTTTAGGAGTACACAATTTAGTCCAAAACAGACCAGTAGCAAAAACTTGAAAAGGTATAAACTGGAGTATAAGAATTTCCTCTGGGATATTGTTATGACTACTTTTGTTTCTAACATAAAATAATGGAAAACTAAAATTATATTTAGCATTGGCATTTTAAAATATTTTGTATAAAATCTGTAAGTAAGCAGACAAGTTTCTTTTGTTGAATCTGCTTACTATAATAGCTGTTAAATAATAGTAACAGTAGCTGGGATTTATTAAGGACTTCTTATGTGCCAACCACTAGTATTCCTATGTTGTATAACATGCGGTTACTTTCTATAAATATGCGGGTCTGTTTGCTTTGTAAAAACTTCTAGTCTCTAATATTAGAAATCAGGATTCTAAATATGCCTTTTAGATAAAGTTCGTTAATACTGTTCAAACTTTCTAAATGTTTGGTCTGATAAACTATCCAAGTATGATTATTTCTTTTAGTAGCTCTTTCAGTGTTTACTTTGTGCATTTTAGTTTGGTGTATATGAGTTCATAGTTGTTATATATGCTAGTAAAACTTTATTTCATTCTAAACAATAAATCACCTAAAAGTCATATCTGTTTTACCTGAAGAACATTTTGCTGCTTTTTACTATTGATACATCAAATTTTGTTTGGTTATATATTTGTTTCTTTTTATTACTCTTTAGGGTTAAAATTTCTGTGGCATTATGTATGGGTGTAAAACATATGCATATACATATATGTGTGTATAGAATATTTACTCAAATATATACATTCTTATATGTATTTTATTTATAATATTATATGTATGTACATATATACACACATATTTGTGAAGTGTGTGTGTGACAAATATCTGCATAACTACTACACTGTACAAAATATGGGATATTTTTATCACCTAGGGAGTTCTTTCCAGCAAGTTTCCAGGCATTACCTCACCACAATTTGTAACTTCTATTCTCACTTTTAATAAAATGGTTTATCTTTAATTACACATTAAAATGGGATAATAAAGTAAATATTCTTTTGCTTCTGGTTTACTTTATTCAACAGGTTTTGAAATCCATCAATGTTGCATGTTTAATAGTAGTTTATTTTTATTGCTTACATTATGTGAATATACCACACATATTTATCCATTTCATGGATAGGAGAACTCAATATTGTTAAAGTGTCAATGTCCCTCAAATTGCCTAAAGATTCAGTTCAAAATTAATCAGAATCCAAGCAGTTTTCGCTGGAATTGACAAGTTGATTTTAAAATGGAAATGCAGAGAATTCAGAATACCTAAATCAGTCTAAAGTAGTAGTAGCAGGGTTTACACTACCGTGTTTGATGACTTACTATGAAGCTAATAAGACAATGTGTTGTTGGCTGAAGGACAGAAAAACAACCCACCAACAATGATAAAAGAGTCCAGAAAGGGACTAGAAATAAAAAAAGAATACTAGAAAGCTCCTCTCTGAATGCTCCTCTCACTATAGTGACCACTGCCCTCTGCTCATGAAACACACACTTTCCAATAAATGATGGCATTATTTTACTCTAAATATATGGGGGCTAAACCTTCCTTTAACAGTGGTTCTCAACCTTGGCTGCACATTAGAATCACCTGGGAATCTTTTTAAAATCCTGATTTCTGGGCCTCATCCTCCCGAAATTCTGTTTCTTTGTTACTAATGTTGTGGCCCCACCCCATAACAGAATTTCCAGAGGATGAGGCCCAGAAATCAGGATTTTAAAAAGATTCCCAGGTGATTCTAATGTGCAGCCAAGGTTGAGAACCACTGCTTTAGAGAGAATGAGTTCTGTTCTGACTTTGTTATCAATGAAGGCCCTATTTCACATGGGAGTCTTATATTTCAGTGTTTTGACTGCACAAATCAGCCAAATTCCAGTTTTTGAGACTAGGTAATGGCTTGCCAATAAACATAAGTCACATTTTCCAAACTATCATAGGTAAATTTTAAGGTTGATATTTGTGTCTCCATTTGATTCATTCATCTTTTTATATCTCTACTTAGCTCCCCTTGTTCACTGAAATAAGAGTGTTATGCATTGCATCCCTCAAATTCTAGTAGACATTGTACAAACACACACAAAATAAGAAAGTAAATTCCACATGTCAAAATAATCATGGCATTATGAAAGAGGAGCAAAAATATACTAATTTTAAATACACCAAGATTTTCTACTAAAATAAATAATACCAATTAGGGTATTTGATTCTGTTATCCTTCACCTGGGCCCCATAGAGCATTTTAAGGAAATTTATAATTCTCAAAATTTTATTTTAACCCGCTTTATAATTATGTTTACTAGATAATTAAGAAAAATGATCAAAATCTAATCTTGAAATCAAAAGCAATTACTCATTGAATGTTGAGCACATGCAAATTTATGAAAATTTTCTAAGCCTAAAATAGACCACTATATTAATTTTCTAAAAAGGACATTTTGAACTCATGAGATGAAATGCCAAAAATTGTATGTGTATGAAGTTCAGTGAGTACTTGCTATAGTGCAAACATTTCTCTCAGCAGCAGGGAAAAAGGTTAATATGTTCATTATGCAAATATTAAATACCTAGAAAAATGAATAAAAAATATTGAACTATATATAATCTAAACAGCATTTCATTTATATATTTTAGCCAAGATTATACTAACCACAGCAATGCCTCCTCCAAATTGTCTATCACACATCTTTCCTTGAAAGGTTGCACCAACATAATCTGATTTTTCTCTGTAACTTAAATTTAAAAACACACACAACACAATCATATGAATTTGTAAAACTGAACACAATTAATATTGTATTTGCCAAATATAAATATATATTTAAATATTTATAGAATATATTCATAGATAGTTCCATGTAACATTAAAGTAACAGGGCATAGGAAGTGACTGTGAATGCTTCTTTTGAAAACAATAAAATAGATTTTAAAGCAAATATTATAAAGTCTATTATCAGATGGATTTTTTTAACATGAAGATTCAGTTATATGTAGTATTCGCTAAAAATTAAAATATTCCTAAAAGATCATAATAAGATAATTAAGTAAAATTTTTTAAATTAAGAAAATAAGGCAATGTAGTTGGTAAATAAAAAGAGTTAACTTATAGAGTCATGCAAAGTTATGGCATACTTGAGGGGCAGAAAGTAACATAAAAGATTATGACTTTAAAATATATATGATCCAAACACACGCACACACAAAGATACACACACATATACCTCTCAAAGAGAATCTGATCTTTACAGTTATAATAGAGAGCGAAGGGTCAGAAGATTATTCTGTAAATAATATAGGGTGTCCCAGAAATGTATGCACACACTTGGAATAATTATAAAGGCAGTGTTTATTAAAATACATTTCATTGTAAAAATTGAGCTATCAACTCTTTCTGTTTGTATACATTTTTTGGGAGGGGCCCCTGTATGTATTATTTTATTTAATATAAATATATATAGAGATTCTGGACATTAATAAAAACAATAAGCTTATTAAATAGAGAGTTTTATACTTTTTAAAAGGAAGCATAGTGTGAATATGGTATATTAGAGATGTTTAAATATACAGTTGTGCTTCCATTTCCTTGTTATCTATTATTTCATTTTATGGAAATAAAGCATAAAAAGAAGCCCAAGTTACTATATTCTTAGAATTCAGGTACATTTCTTCAGGTAAATATTATTAGTATTTTATGTATAGTTATGGGCATTATTTAATAAGGTAAGAAGGCAAGAAGGCATATGGTAACAAGTTTGAAGGAGTAAATTTTAAATACAAACAAATAAATACAGTGATATCAATAATTTTATAAAACACATGTTTTGAAAAATAATATTCAGATGTTGTTGTTTATAAGAAAAATGGCACAAGATGTCTTTCTCTAAAGACCTTTGAACTGTCAGAAATTAGGTCAAATATGTTTTCTTTATATAAGATTTAGTAATGCCAAGATATGCTTACACAAGTAAAAATGCCATATCATGTGGACGCAAAACAAGATAAGACCTTTTCCATTTTAAGAATTTGTGTAATAATTCATTAACATCTCCTGTTACTGGCATTTTATTTTCATCTATCCAAAGCTCCAGTGAAGACAGAATTATTGTAATATTAAATGAAGTAAAAATCTAAAATAAAACACATAAAGAAAATATTTTCAAATATCATGGTCTAAATAGATTTGGAAATTAAGTGTGAAAATAAACACAATTCTGAAGACAAATATTAAACAACTAAACTATAAATCTGTTTTGAATCTTATAATATAAAAAATACATACTACTGATGAAATAAGTTGTAATCAATGTTTGAAAAGCCTGTCCTTAAGCAAGCCCTACCTCAAGTGCTATATTTAATTTAATCCTTACAATAACCTACTTAGGTATCTACAATAATTATCATTTCTATGAAATAGTTAGGAAACAAATTTAAAATGGTTATATACGTTTCCTTATTCACACAAGATATGTATTCAGGCAGTGCCATAACAGAAACTATGGGAATTTTTTAAGTATCACAAGCAAATGCAAAAGTTCTAAAAAGCAAACACTTACAGCATTAGTCAATCCAATTAATTGAAAAATTTTTTGAGTGACAATAGCCGTATCAGAACCCATATGAGTATACTGAAAAAGATAATCATACATTTTAAATCTAAATATAAATTGCTTAATATTTAATTATTGTTGTGTTGTTTAAATTTTAATATAGTGAATTTGAAACGTTTTAACTATTTGTTTTAAAATATAAATTATTATAGAAATAATATGATATTTATTCAGTGTGAGAAATAGGATATATTAAAAAATTAAAAAAAAACACCTTACAAACTCCCCGAAAATAGAAGAGAGGGACACTTCCAAAGTCATCTTACAAGGCCAGTGTTACCCTGACACCAAAACCAGACAAGAACACTACAAAAAGAGAAGATTACAGGTCAACATCTCTGATGAACATAGATTCAAAAAATCCTTAATAAAACATTGGTACACTGAGATCAACAGCACATCCCAAGAAACTAAAAGCACCAATCAGGAAGGATATATGCACCCCTATGTTCATAGTGGCACAATTCACCATAGCTAAGATTTGGAAGCTGAGTGGATTAAAAAACTGTGGTACATCTACACAATGGAATATTATGCTGCAGTAAAAAGAAGGAATTATTGCCATTTGCAACAGGATGGATGGAACTGGAGAGCATTATGCTAAGCGAAATAAGCCAGTCAGAGAAAGATAAATATCACATGATCTCACTCATTTATGAAAAATAATGAACAACATAAATTGATAAACAAAAACAGCCCCAGAGACAGAAGCATCTTTCAGACCGTCAAACCTCAGAGGGAAGGTAGGGGAGGGTGGGGGTAAGGGGAAGAGATCAACCAAAGGACGTGTATGCATGCATATAAGCCTAACCAATGGACACCAGGGGGTTGAGGGCATGAGTGGGGGTGTTGGGGGCAATGGGGAGATAAGGACACATATGTAATACCTTAATCAATAAAATAAAATATAAAATAAAAATAAAATAAAAGGATCTTACACCAGGTACAAATGGGATTTATTCCATGGTTGCAAAAATGGTTCAACATTCACAAACCAGTTAATGTGATAGAACACCAAATAAAGGGAAATGTCACATAATTATCTCAATTGATGCATTTTACAAAATTCAACATCTTTTCAAAATAAAAACTCAACAAAATATGTATAAAAGGAACATGCCTCAACATAATAAAAACCATATGTAATAGGCCCACGGCCAAGATCATAATCAATGGTGAAAAGTTGAAAACTTTCCCCATATAATCAGGAACAATACAAGAATACTCAGTCTCACCACCTTTATATAATATAGATTGAAATCTTAGCCAGAGAAAGTAGGAAGAAAAGTAAATAAAATACATCCAAATGGGAAAGGAAGAAGTAAAACTGTCACTATTTGCAGATACCATGTTATAGAAAGCCCCAAACTCATCATAAAAAAATCCTGTTAGAACTAGTGAACAAGGACAGTAATGTTGCAGAATAAAAAACAAATATACAAAACTATGTTTTATATACTAATAAAACTATCAGAAAGGGAAATTAAGAAAATAATCCCATTTACAATTACATCAAAAAGAATAAAATACATAGGAATACATTTAAGCATAAAGGTGAAGGATTTGTATGTATACTGAAAACTATAAGAATTAAAAAAAACCCACAAATGAATACAAATATAGTTAATGCTCATGAGTTAATATTGTCAAAATGTTTCTACTTCACAGAACAATCTACAGATTTGATGCAATCCCTATCAAAATTTCAATGTTAATTAAGAGCCATAGAACATTTAGGACTGGGTGAAGATGATTTGAGAGATTTACAAATAAAAACTTCAAAGTGCTTGATGTTACTTATATGTAAATTTTTTAAAGAAATTGAAAATCCCAATATGATAAAATTGTATACTCACTGGCTAGAAAAATTAAAAAGAAATATAAAACCAATGGTTAGCAGGTATGAGGAAAATAGCATTTTTGGTTTTAACTTAGAGAGGTAAAAAGTTATAACCTTTTCATATACCGTATTTGCCGGCGTATAAGACGATTTTTTGGCCCTGAAAAATATGCCTCCAAGTGGGGGGTCGTCTTATACGCCAGGTACACTTCAGATAGACTGCCCATAGTGCTTGCCCCGTGCCATAGTGGCCTCCCGATGCCTGCCCACTTCATTCCACATACCGTTCAGGCATCAGCAGCGCTGCTGGGTGTATGCTCGGCTGTTATGCGATTTTGCTGTTATGCGATTTTACCACACTCGCAAAATCGCACACAGCCGACCATACACCCAGTATGATAGCGCAAAATCACGAATCGCGATACCATACTGGGTGTATGGTTGGCTGTGTGCGATTTTGCGAGTGTGGTAAATTCGGGTTACCGTATATTTCTTTACATATGCATTGAAGATTCGCGATTTTGCGCTATCATGGTGCCTGTTAGAATGTTGAAGAGCTCGCACTTGCGCACTAGTGACTATTTGTTATCTTACTTCTATCATTGACAGTCCCTCTAGGTTGTGGGCTGCTTGCCTGTGTTCCTGAGAAGCATCTACGGTACCAGTCTATAGAGTGTGTTTTCTTTAGTGAATTACCGGTATGTTTACCGGTAATAAACTTGCACTGTTTTATGTATATGTTTGATTACATACAGCCTTGTGACAGTTTTCCTGCATGTCATAAGCATTTGAATATAAATTAAAATGTTAAAATCAAATCTGATATTGTTTTACCTTTTATTTGGTGTGTGGAAGGTGTGCGGAAGAGGGGGTAGTCTTATACGGCGAGTATATAACAAACTCTGTATTTTGAGTGGAAATGTTAGGGGGTCGTCTTATACACCCAGTCGTCTTATACGCCGGCAAATACGGTATCTATAAACAGAATAGAAAGTCTACAAAGGTGTGTCACTTTATTAAACACCGAACTTGCATATCTAATAATATACTCTGCTTTCCTTGATGTTACTATGGATGAATTTACATGGTTATGTGTCGATTACATATCAATTAGAGGCCCGATGCACAAAATATGTGCAAGGGCCGTGGCCCTGGCCCCTGTCTGCTGCTGCTGTGCCCGGAAGTAGGGGGATGGGGGGAGGGAGGCCTCTGCTACCTCTGCCATGGTCTGGCCTGCTGGGGCTTTGTCTGGAAGGAAGGACGTCAGGCCTAATGAGCATATTACGCTTTTATTATTATAGTAAATCTGAAGTAGAAAAAATATAAAATTATAAAAATAACTAAATGGACACTCAAGTTGAAAAATACAATAGCTAAAATAAAAACTTCATAAAAGGGGTGTTCACCAGCAGAAAAAAGAATAATTGAACATGATGGTATATCAACACAAATTATCCAACAACAAAAAAAAAGTAAACTGAACAGAATCATGGACATTAATTTGACATCATTACGTAAGCCAGAATTTATATAATAGGAGCCTTAGAAGGGTACAGAGATTGAAAAAGGCAAAAAAAAAAAAAAAAAGGAAGTGGACTAGCTAGTTTGGTTCAGTGGATAGAGTGTTGGCCTGTGGACTGAAGGGGTCCTGGATTCTATTCTGATCAAGGGCACATATCTCAGTTGGGCTGCAAGCTGCTCCAGGCCCCTGACCGGGTTAGGTGCAGGAGGCAACCAATTGATGTGTTTTTCTCACAACAATGTTTCTCTCTGTCTTTCCCTCTCTCTTCCTCTCTCTCTAAAAATCAATGGAAAAATATCCTCGGTGAAGATTAAAAATAATAATAATTTTTAAAACGAGCAAAAAGTAGCTTTAAAAAACAAAACAAAACAAAACAAAAACCTTTAGTAAATAATGACCAAAACCTCCACAAATTTAATGACAATCATTAATCTACACATTATATAGGCTCAATAAACCAAATAAGATGAAATCAGACATTCACACAGACACGTCATAGTTAACTAACTGGACAAAGGTCTTAATAAAATAAATCTTTAAAGTGAGAAGAAAAAATAATGTATCTCACAAAGAAGAAAAATAATGCATAACAAGATTAAGAGATGACTTCTCATCAGAATCAATGGAGAACAGGTAGAGTTACAAATTTGAAGTACCAAAAGAAAACATTCTCAATCAAAAATTCTATATCCAGCAAAATTCTTCTTCAAAAGTAAAGGCAACAGAAGGGCATTCCCAAATTTAAAAAAATAAAATAAAATCATTAATAACAGAGCTGCATTACTAGAAATAAGAAATAATAATTAAAAAACCCCTTGAGGTTGAAAAGAGATGACAGAAGACTATAACACTTATATACACAAAGACAGTCAAGAGCTCTGGTAATGAAAATTGCAAAGGTAAGTAAAAAACACTATCTTTTCTCCTCTTAATAAAAAAACTTGCAAAAACAATAATTTAAATTTTGACATTATTGTGAAGACATCTAATTTAGACAGAATGGTGTAGACTGTTGTCTCCCAGTTTCTCCCAGCTGAGCAAAGCTATGAAAAATGATAAACCCTGAAATAATATACCAAAAAAAGAAAAAGATTATAGGGGGTTTCTAAAGAGTGGAAATCAAAGGTACCTGTGCATGAATGCTAGGATCAGAGGAATAACATAGCTGCACCACATCCACTGGCAACAAGTAGCCCAGGTAGGGATGAAGTGAGAACCCCACTAACATTCTGATGCCTAGAATCTGTGCCCTATAGCATGAAACAACAGGTTGCCTGGACCTAGAAAGAGCAATTGCCCCTGCTGGCAGTATCAGTGTAGCTCTGATAATACAAAACAGCTCTACTCCCAGATGTCCAATGTCTCCTACTCCCACATAGAAACACTAGGCAGAATAACCCTAAAAAGGAACTTCCACTCCCACAAACAGCATTGAGAATGTAAACAGGAATCCCTCTGGCACTGAGTAGGCCAGGAAAACATTTTCTACCATGCAGGCCCATCATCTACAATCCTCTATGCAGAGGCAGCAGGAGAACAAGGAAGGCTACTATTCCTGCAGGCAACACAGGCAGGTAGCCATGGCATCTACAAAAGCACCAAGTGAACCAAGACTAAAAGAACATCATGAAGGCTCTGAAAACTTTTGCCATTAAATACCACCACATGACTAGGTCAATACTGATGTGCTAATAAAATTAAAATGAAAAAATTAAGTAGAATCCAGAATCTCATAACATACTAGTCAAAATGTCCAGAAAGCAGTTGAAAATGTCCAAAAAGGAGTAAGAACTACTAGTGAAAGTGTCAGAAAGATGACAGATGGTGAGATGTCTGAGGCAAGAGATTATAGGTGAGGATATACAGCAGGCCATGAAAGGCTCTGAGGAGAAGGTTGGGTGTTTACGACTCTTTGGAAAACTGAGATATTCAAAAGCAGTTCTGTATATGATGAAATAAGAAAGCTCATCAAGACATATGCTCAGTAAAGACCTGAGAATGTCCTAAACTTCCACCTCAGCTGACCCCTAACTTGAGAGCAAGCTTAACTAATCATTAAAGGACTGCCCTGGCACAAAACCAATCTGCAAAATCTGAAAGAGGTGTTTGTTTTTTTCAAATGCTGAATTTTCAACCCAAATCACAAGATTCCTCAGTCAGGTGTTATACTAAAAGTATCATAGACGAGGGGCTTAAACAACAAATGAATCTCTCTGTTCTGGAAGCTGTGAGTCTAAGACAGAGGCTCCAGCAGATTTTTTATCTTGTAAAAAATCCTCTTCCTGGTTCATAAATGACCATCTTTCCTTCTTGGCAGAAAGGTGAAGGAACTTTCTGGATTCTCTTTTATAAGGGCCAAATCTCCTTGATAAGGGCCCCACCTCCATGACTCAAATCACTCTCAAAGGCCCCACCCTCCAAAACTCATCACATTGTATTAGGTTTTGATATGAATTTCAGAGAAACACATGCATTGTTTATATCATGAAGCGAAAGAAAGAAAGAAAGAAAGAAAGAAAGAAAGAAAGAAAGAAGGAAAGGAAGAAAGAAACCAAAAAGCATGACCCAAAGGAACAAGATAAATTGGGAGAAACAATCCTTGAGGAAATGCAGACATACCAAAGTCTTTACAACAATTGTCAGAAGTATGCTCAAAGAGCTAAAGGAAAACACAGACGAAGGGAAATCTGGAAAATTACATAGAAACAAAATTACATCTAAACAAAAAAATATAGAAATTATAAAAAGAAACCAAATAAACTCTGGAGTTATAAAATGCAATCATTGAGGTGAAAATTCACTAGAGAGATTCAACAACAGATTTGAAGAGGCAGGACAAAGAATCAACAAACTTGAGGAGAGGATAATTGAAATTATAGAGTTTAAGGACCAGAAAGAAAAAAAAAAGAGGGACTTCTGAAATATCATTAAGTAGAAATAATATATAAATTATAGGAGTCCCAGAAAAAGAAGAGAGATTATTTGAAGAAACAAATAATTACTAATATAAATTGACATAAATCAGAATATACTTACCAAATTTTTTTCAACTACAACATGCATTTCTATATAACTAGAGAAATCTGTAGGTGACTGAAAAAAATCGACATGAAAGTTAAAGAATTACTTAAATATATTAGTGTTTATCACTACATCATCAATTCATTGTTGAAAAATCCAAATTTATATATATTTAAAAAATATATATCCAAAGCTTGGTATCAAATAATCATTTTCAGAATATTTCCCTGTCACCTCTTTCACAGCTGATCCACCATTTAATTTACTCAGAAAGTAACTTTCCTTTACTATCCATTCTCTATATTCTCATTGGTTTTGAGCTATCTATATTATTTGCTTTCCTGAAAAACAAAACTAAAAACCCTTCCATTGACTCCCATTATAAAAGGTGTGATTTTTTTATTAGCTTACATGATGCTATTATCCATTACTATGTGGTATGGTTTTATCTATGATGGTGAAAGTGTAAGGAGCATTTCTGTGTTTATAGGGATGATATTTTAAATCACTGCAGAAAAAGGTGAGCAACAGCTATTCAAAATGAACAACTCTCACACTGCACCATAGATACCTCCAGATGAGTTTCTGGTTATGATGTCATCCACATAGATCATAGTGGTTAAGTTAGGCAAAAATGCAAAGCCCAATGGGATTTGAATTCTGCCTTATTATTTATATGAGTTAGACTTTGCCAAAATATGGGGATAAAGAAATAATTATCTTCATGATTATTGTTACATGAAGATTATTGTTATGTTACGTAGGAGGAATGCACTTGGGAAAACTTGTAAGACAACTTTGTGAACTCTTTAAGATTATAGTGTCAATAATTCAAAATATCTTGTTACTAGAATAGCGTAACTACAAACACTGGACAGATCTTTAGAAGCAGAAAAGGAGGATAAAATTTCAGAAATTGAGGACACTTTTCTTATATTTATTTTAATGTCTACAGATTTTCCATTTCACATTAAAGTTTAAAACCATCCCATATTAGTAAAACTATTTTCTTTAGCATATTAAATTGAGCATTGGAGAATAAGAACTATGGGATTTAGTAGAGATCAGAAAAAATGATGATAATAGTAATTTAAAGAAAAAGGAAAAGTTGAGAAAGATCGGTAAGACAAAATTAGGGCTGATTGAGCACTCATTTTTGCCCACTATTTCTTGGCCTAACCTTGGAGATTTCAGGGTTTTGTTTTAAAAAATGCAGATGAAATCCCCTTATGGTCTAACCAGTTTTTTATAATTTGCATTAAAAATTAAGCACCAAATATTTCATGATAGTTTGCTTATGGGACTCAATCCTCTCATTAAAGTCCCTAAACAAGGAAATAACACCACTTTACTGGAGGATAAACATAAACACAAATTAATTGAGATAAACAATGTATTAATGGATTGAAGGATCCAAACCATGTCTTTGTTTTAACCAGCGTGTGTTGGTTGTCTAACATTGCCTGAAGTAATCCTTGTTCATGTTCTCTTTGAGATTGGGATTAATTATACTTAGTTAATAATATATTCATTCATTTAATGAACAATAAGCCTAAAGGGTGAAGGTACAGTCTATTTTAGGCAAATACATTTAAGACAAGGGTACATAAAAGAATGCTAGGAAATGTGTCTGTCGAAGGGTGAGCAGGTCCAAACAACTCAAAAGCCATTTTATAGAGTAAGAGAATGTGGTTACATAAGGGGAAAAATTGCTTAGCTAAGTATTATGTAAAGACTAGAGGCCTGGTACATGAATTCATGCACATGTGGGGTCCTTCAGCCAGGCCAGTGATCGACCCTTGCTCAGTCCCAATTGGGGAGATTTGGGCAGTCAATGTGGGGGAGGGATTGCGGGAGGTTGGCTGGCCAGCGGGGGTCAAGGGGCAGAGGGACTGTGGGAGGTTGGCCTGCCAAAGGGAGGTTGGATGTGGGAGCACACTGACCACAAGGGGGCAGCTTCTGCATTGAGCGTCTGTCCCTTAGTGGTCAGTGTGCATCATAGTGACTGGTCAACTGGTTGTTTGGTCCTTTGGTCATAAGGTTCGGCTTAGGCTTTTATAAAGAGAGATGGTAACGGGCTGAATCCTTTTTTCCTAAGATTGGGGCAAGACAGAAATATCTCTTCTCACCTATTTAGCATTATACTGGAGGTTCTAACCAGAACAATTAGGCTATTAAAAAAATGAAAGTTATCCTAATTAAAAAGGGAGAACATAAACTATCTTTATTCAAGTTGACATGACTTTAAAATAGAAAATCAAAATCCAATTAAAAAACTAATAAACAATTTCAACAAATTTGTAGAATACAAAATCAGTACACAAAATAAATAATTTCTTAACACTAATAGTGAGAAATACAAATTTGAAATAAAAATTAAATGTGCAATAGCATTCAAATAATACATTTTTAAAAATAAATTTAACAAAATAAGTTTACTTAAAGACTGAACGATGCAAAACAATGCAGAAAATATTAAATAAAATCTAAACAAAAAAGCTATTCAATGTTAGTAAATAGAAATAATTATTATTGTTCAATGGCAATATTTCTCAGATGAATCTACAGAATCAATACAATTCCAGGTAGCATTTTGAGGAAATTGAAATACATTTTAAATTTGGAATTTCATAGTAACAAGAATAGCCAGAACAATAGCTAAAAAGAAGAATGCACACTTACTGATTCCAAAAATTGATTCAAACCTACAATAGTAAAAGGTTGTGGTTCTGGCATAAGAATAAGCGTAAAGATTAATGGAATGTAATTGCAATTGTGGAAATAGTCCCTAACATTTATGGTAAACTGATCTTTGAAAAAAGCAAGCCATGAAAATTCAATGGAACAAAAATAGTCTTTTTAACAAATGGTGTTGGGGAAATTAGATATCCATATGAAGAATAATGAATTTAGAATCTTACTCCCTACAAAAATTCAATTGAGTCATATGTCAAAATGTAAGAGATTGAACACTTAAATTTATGAAAGAAATATACAAATAAATTTTATAGTCCTTCTGAGATGGTTAATTTATTTGTCACTTGACCTTGCCACATGCATGCATATATGCACACATACCTACACACACACACATATGATGGTTCTGGAAAATTATCAACCTTAAAAAAACACAAAAAACCTTACCTACTATAGCTGCATATCAGAGAGGGTTGAAAATCAAACTCAGACTCTCATTTCTACGAGTAGATTAGTTACAGCACAAATTGAATTTCCAACATCACATGGTGTCTACTGTTAAAGTGAAGGTATTAATTGGGAAGAAATGAGATCGGGAAAATTTGAATGGGGACATATGGGAAGACTCTGATGAATCTGAGGTTACCAAACTCCTAAATTCTGGAGTCTTCTTTGCCAGTAGAAGCAGCTTTTCTGTCCTTGCATAAGGAAACTAACCCTGCATCTTAAGGAAAATGTGATAGCTGCCCCTGAGGCAGCTGTCTTAGAAGAAGACCCTAGTGACTCTCCGTAGCAAATATCTCCAATATTTATGTAAATGTCATTTGTATTTGTTATATCAAAATTTTGACATAATGGATATGGAGAAAGGAGTGTACCTGCAGACAATGAAGGTATACATCATAGGGTGGAAAAGCAGTGTCAATAACAGTTAAAAATAACAGCTTGTAGTTCTGGAAATTTGAATGACTAGTTTTCAGACTTACAATATAAGTCACAAGGTTTCTGACACATCTAGCACATCTATCTATCATCTATCATCTATCTATCTATCTATCTATCTATCTATCTATCTATCTATCTATCTATCATATTAACTAATATAAATAATTTGTCAGAAAAATATTGTTTTTATTGAAGAATAGTAATAGCCAAACAGTTACTCAAATAATCACCTACCTGTACACTTTGTATTTTAAAGGGCAAGTCTCTTGGATCAATATCCTCCTCAGTATATAAAGAAGCACCGGTATTCTTATTATTTACTTGGTAAATCACATGTTCAAAACCAACTGAAGGTTCTAAGGGCTCAATTCCATAACTTATATTTTCAAACTGTAGTAAGCCCCTATGAATTTCAAAACACATTTTTTAAAAAGTACATAAAATGCCATTTAGTCAGGTTTTAGTTGAATAGAATGTAGATAATTTTCAGTCTTTGTCTTAAGTGGTAAAGTGGAAAAAAAATTCCTAAGTATCCACAAACGTACTAAGTGGCACTGAATAGTAATGCAATCGGTATTAGCGTAGCTATTGATATTTCATGGTCTCCAAATCTATCAAAAATCTTAATTCAGAATAAAGGTAGGAGGGATTACAAGAATTTTCATAGTATGCTTTTCCTAAAACAGTTTTCCACAATAAGGCATGGCTCATGTTAGAACTACTGAATATAATTTAAAATTTTTTAAAAATTATTTCCGAAATAATACTCCATTTTCTCATCATAAAATTATATATCCCAACCTGAGTCCAGTACATGTGCTAAGGATCACCATAGAATTTGGATACCCTTCAATATGCCCTTGGTAGTAGCAAAAATTCTGAAAAACAAAAGATAAAATACATATATGTCTATTAGATTAACTCATGTTAAAGGTACTATTTTCAAATATTTGAACTGAATGTTAATTTGTGCATATGTGTCAAATGCTTATTGTTTCTAAAATATATTTAAAGGATTACTAGATGAACATTTGGCTCAATTATCCAAATATGTTCCCACAGGTTCAAAAAGTTAGTACATATTCCTATTTTTTCCTATTGTAAATTAAATATGACATTCTTGGTCATTAGGAGCAAGGTAATAATCTTTCAAAACTTATTTTTTCATATTCTATTAACTAAATTTTGCAAAACCAAATAAAATAAATCCAAGAGAAAAATTATTTGAGTGTAAAAGCAGAGTAGCTTGCATTGGATTAACTCCCTCACCAATTACAAATATAAATTCTGGAAAAATAATTTTAAAATCCAGCTACAAAGCCTGGCAGAACAAAAAGTGAGAGAAGGGAATCAACATTAGAAAGAAAAACATGGTATTTAGTTTGCATTTATATCACCTGAGGGCACCCTCCAAGGCAAGGCCACACAAGGTAGCTAAAGTTCCAACAAAGAACCCAATCTTACTGACCATGGTTTCAAGTTCCTAGAAGTTGAGGTGAATATCCAGGAAAGGAAGGAGGCACAGAGTGAGGCCCCAAAATGTATGTTATTGATTCAGGTGTAAGTTCTTCATTTACATTTGAACTGAGAATATGTGAAAGAGATCTCAAGTCCCTTAGCAGAAACTAAGGCCAGAAAAGCCAGAACTGAGAAGACATTTTGGCTATTTCTGAACACAGGAGGGTAGTTTTGAAAGTGGCACCAGGAAAGCTCATTGTCTGGTGGAATAAGAAAGCTCTTTAGACACAAGAATCACGAACTCAAGAATGCATCATTGGATATGGCCGGTATGATCCTATATAATAAAAGCCTAATATGCAAATTGACCAAATTGTGGATGGACCAGCAGAATGATCAGTCACTATGACGTGCACTGACCACCTAGGGGCAGGTTCTCAAGACAGGAGCTGCCCCCAGCCCGCAGACCCCAGGCCAGCCAAGGTGGGTGCCAATGGGGGGCTCCCCAGCCACCCTACCAGTCGCCCTGCAGATTGGCCCTGATGGCTGGCCAGGCCTAGGGACCTTACCTGTGCATGTGTTTCATGCACTGGGCCTCTAGTTTTAAAATATTAGATGTGCCCGGCTGGCATAGCTTGGTGGTTGAGAATCAACCTATGAACCAGGAGGTCATGGTTCTATTTCAGGTCCAGGCATATGCCCAGTTTGCGGCATGCAGGAGGCAGCCAATCAATGGTTCTCTCTCATCATTGATGTTTCTGTCTCTCTCTCTCTCTCCCTTCCTCTCTGAAATCAAATTTAAAAGAAGTAAATAAAATAGTAGATGTGTAAATGTGGCTCATAGTCAAGAGAAAAATCAGAAAAAGAGCTAACCCTAAAATAACCCATGATTTTGGAATTAGTAAGAAAAAAAGCAAAAAAAAAACCAAACAAACAAACAAAAAAAACCAGCCCTAGAGGCAGCAGAAGATAGTAGCTGCTATCTTCTGCTGCTTAATAGTCACATGGTCCAGACCTCTGGCAGGCAAAAGATAACATTCAAGCTATGAGTTGGGTTTTTAGAGGCATAAGCTCCCCATCTTCAAACTAGCTAATTCAATATTAAACTACTTTTTTTCTTTCTAAACTGCAAATTCCTGCTCAGTATACCTTTGGGCCAGTGCACACAGGCTCAGACTCAAGGAAAAACATTAGGAATCCAGTAATAACAGTATCAGTGAGAAGACAAGTGACGGTGGCTGATTCCCTTGCTATGGCAAGTTCTGAATAAATAGTTTTTGCTTATTCTCATTTTTTTGGTTTTTGTTCATTTCCATAAGATATAAACAACTCAACACATCAAAATAAACTGATGGAAGCCAAAAATAAAGAGAAAATTTGAAATAAATCAAAGAAAAGTAGCACATAATATTCCCAGGAATAATAATGCAAACAATAATATATTTCACTATATATTTCTTTATATAGATATAGATGATATAGAGATAGAGATAGAGATAGAGATAGAGATAGAGAGATATAGAGATATAGAGGTATAGATTTAGATGTGTAGATATAAATGTATAGATCAGGGGTCCTCAAACTTTTTACTTCCTTTTTTTTCTTTTTTTTAAATATATATTTTATTGATTTTCTACAGAGAGGAAGGGAGAGGGACAGAGCGCTAGAAACATCAATGAGAGAGAAACATCGATCAGCTGCCTCCCGCACACTCCCCACCAGGGATGTGCCCGCAACCAAGGCACATGCCCCTGACCGGAATCAAACCCGGGACCATTCAGTCCTCAGGCTGACGCTCTATCCACTGAGCCAAACTGGACAGGGCCAAACTTTTTAAACAGGGGGCCAGTTCACTGTCCCTCAGACCATTGGAGGGCTGGACTATTGTTTAAAAAAAACCCATGAACGCATTTCTATGCACACTGCACATATCTTATTTTGAAGTAAATAAAAACAAAACATAGTTTGAGGACCCCTGGTATAGATATAGGTATATATAGGTAGAGAGCCAGATTAAAATGCTTAAATAGAATGAAAGCTCTGGTTCTTAAAATTATGTATTAAGATAAATTATTCTTTAAAAATGAAGATGTGGAGAACTGACTTCTAGTATGACAACATGAAGAGCTCCACAAATCTGCTCCCTAGCAAACTAAATGAAAATTATAAATAAACAACCATATCCATCCTCTGGAAATGGTCAAAAGGACAAACTGTCCTAAGAGAAAATGAATAAATAGCTCTTCAATGAAACTTGTGAAAATTCAGGAAGAAAAATGGAAGCCTGTGTTAATTTGAGCCAAAACAGACCCTTTTCCCCCACCTCCAAGCTCAGTGAGCTGCAGCGGGCTGCTGTGAGGATAACATGACATCCTCTTTTACTGTTAACTGTTTGTTTGTTTGTTTCTTTAGTAAGTAGAAAGAGTACACTCTAAAATAATAATAAAGTGTATAGCAAGTAAGTACATAAACCAGTAATATAGTCGTTTATGATCATTATCAATTATTATATACTGTGCATCATTGTATCTTCTGTACTTTTATATGACTAAGCTTTTTTACACAATAGGGTTGTTTACATCAGCGTCACCATAAGCACATGAGTAATGCGTTGTCCTACAACATTATGATGGCTATGGTGTCACTAGGTGTTAGGGATGTCTCAGCTCCATTATAAGCTTATGGGACCACCAGTGTATAGGTAGTCCATTTTTGACAGAAATATCATTACATGGCACTGACTATACTGGTTACATTTGAGGCCAATATTCAACAACTTACTACATTCAGGACATTAATAAAGCATTCTTTGCTTTGCCCTTTTAATTATACATTTATCTTTCATAGTTACCTCCTGGGAGGTAGGAAGTAGAGTTAGATATTAGGTATAGCAAAAGTATGTAAAATTCAGGCATGGAATATTGTGGTTGTATATCTCTTTGTCTCTCTGATACTAACTCTTTTCTCTCTTACACACACACACATACATGCCACAAGCATGCGCATGCACACACACACATGTGTGTGTGTGTATATTTGACTATGTATTATTATATATCTGTATAGATTATTCCATATATAACTCACATATATTTGCCTAGTCTGTTCAGTGAAATTTAAAGCAATTATTCACCCTCTCTATTATTTTTTTTGTTAAAATCTTCATCTCTATCGAAATGCTTTAATTTCAGAGTATTAGTAGATTCTCCACATAGAAACCAGTAATGCAAATGGGGAAAAAAAAACACACAACAGGAATTGGTAGGACAAGGCAGAGGTAAAAAGAAAAATGGCATTTCAGGCATGGGTAATTCATACAATTCTATGAACACTTCTCTATTATTCTTCCAATAAACTATTGACATGCCCGGCCAGCATGGCTCAGTGGTTGAGCATTGAACTGGTCAGGGTACATGCCTGGGTTGCAGACTATTTAAATTCTCTTTTTCTTCCCTGATTTAGCTTTCCTAACATAAGTCATGCTTTTTCATTTGAAATGTGTTACAACATAGTCAACCCATTGTCCACATAAGCACATACAGTATATGTACAGCATCATTAAATAATAGCTTAAAAACATCAGAATCATTTTTGGTTTGAATAATCATCTGTTTAATAATGGTTAGTTACTACATACATAAAAAAGAAATGGTTAAATTCATGCCAAAACAAACATAACTTCAACTCTTTGTACTCCAGCAACAAGTGGACCCTAAGTAAGGTGATCACAGAAACTCACCTAATAAAGGTAAAACAGACACTAAAATCCATACCTGAATCTGTTGTTCAAAGGGCTTCATATATCCTGTGCCATTATAACCATAAACTCTAAAACTAGGAGGCAAGAAAGCTCTGCAAAATAGAGAGTGTTTAGTGAAAAATTTGTTCCCTAAGCTTTTATTTTTAAAATATATTTATTTTGTTACTAGAAGCCCGGTGCACAAATTCATGCATGGGTGGGGTCTCTAGGCTTGGCTGGTGATCAGGGCCAATCAGGGCCAGGCCAAACAGGGCTGGCCATCTGGGCCTATGGGCTGGGGGGAGGGATAAGGGGAGGGTATGCAGGAGGTTGGTTGCTGGCCCCAAAGAGGAGTCAAACCTCGGCAACCCCTGGGGAAGGGGCTGCATCCACCACCACCCACCCCCAGCTTCCCATCCCAGACTGAGGCCCAAAGGCCCTGGTAGGGTCAGGAGAGGAGGCGACAGTTGCTGGGCTGAGTAGAGAAGGAAAAGACGCTGGATGATGACGCTGCTGCTGGCACCCGACCACCTCGCAGTTCCCTGCCTACCGCTCCTCCTTCCCTCACTGCCATGCCACCATGGTGGCCAGGCAGTGGTTCAATCCGGGCCTGGCAGCTGGGGGGAGGGATGGGGGAGGGACTGTGAGAGGTTGGCCAGCTGGAGGGAGAGACCAAGGGTGGTTGGCTGGCCGTAAGAGGTTGACTGTGGGAATGCACTGACCACCAGGGGGCAGCTCCTGGGTTGAGCATCTGCCCCCTGGTGGTCAGTACACATCATAGCGACTGGTCTATCAGTCATTCCGGTCATTCCAGTTGTTCTGGTCATTCTCTTAGGCTTTTTATTTTATCTATCTATCTATCTATCTATCTATCTATCTATCTATCTATCTATCTATCATCTATCTATCTATATCTATCTATTTATTATAAACTAGAAGCCAAGTGCACAAAATTCATGCATGGGGGTGGGAGGGGTATCCCTCAGCCTGTCCTCCACCCTCTCCAATCTGGGTTCCCTCGAACATCCCTCTCACAATCCAGGACTCCTGGCTTCTAGCCGCTCGCCTGCCTGCCTGCCTGATTGCCCCTAACCACTTCTGCCTGCCAGCCTGATCACCTCCTAACCACTCCCCTGCTGGCCTGATTGAGGCCTAACTGCTACCCTGGTGACCTGATCGCCCCCAACTGCCCTCCCCTACAGGCCTGGTCACCCACAACTGTCCTCCCCTGACAGTCATCTTGTGAAGGCCATCTTGTGATGATGTCACACAAGGGTGTGGCACCACCTAGGCTTTTATTATATAGGATAGGTAGGTTACCCCTAAAGAGAGAAAGAGAGAGAGAGAGAGAGAGAGAGAGATCCTCTGATTTTGTTTTCATTTTACTCAAAGATCCTATTTGCCAGTCCTACTCTCACACACTTTACACTTTACTGTCAAACTGCCCTCCTAGCATTTTTGTTTTTGTTTTTAATACAACAGGCAAGCTTTTGCCTCAGGGTATTTATACAAGTATTCCCTGGGATGTTCTTCAGCATGGTTCATTGTCTTATTTACTTCAAGTCTTTCCTTATATATCTTCTCAGGGAGGCTTATATTAATACATTTATTTTTAAAAAAATCCAAGTTTCCCAATTATCAAACATTAGATTTCCAAAAGATATTTTTAATTTTTTCTATAGTTTTGCTTAAACATTTTAAGACTCTTCTTAATCTGCTTATTTATTATGTCATTATTACAATCATCTACTAACCATATGAACTCAGAGATTCATATCCATTTTGTTTACTAATGCATCTCAAGCACTTAGAAGAATATTTGGAAAGTAGCAAATGGTCAATAAAAACTGAACTAATATGACATCAATTTAACAGATTAGATGGACATCCCATATTAAAATATATTACTTATAAATGATAAGAATATGTCTAAAAGCCTCTATAAAGAGAAAGATGGGTGTAGGTATCCCATTTTCATTTTCCCACACACGTATAACATAAAGATTGTGACTGCCATGGCCGTCTGGATTCGTTAAAAGAACAGGTCCCAGATCCCAGCCACTGACAAGCAGAGCAAGCATTTTGTCTTCTTGTATACCAAAAGAAACTGACCCATGGCGAGGTGGGACTCCAGGGAAAATAACAATTCTGAGTTGAAAACTGTAAAGAAATTTAGCAGGTGATATGCAGGCACTGTTTTGTGCCAGAAAAAGAAAGAATACATATATCCATGTTAGTCCCAAGGAGGAAGCCACTATTTGGAAGCCTAGAAACAAGCAGGACTTTGGGAGTCATGCAGGTATGGACAAAAAATAGTATACACTGAAGTGCATCAAAACAGAATCCTTCCCTATAAAGTCAGCACAGAGAGGCCAAGGAGCTAAGTAAACTTAAAATTTTAAAATTGACAATACAGTATTACTGAATATACTCTATGTAATTCAAGCATGATAAAAGAAAGAAAAAAATCACACCTAAATGTTTTTAAAAGAATAATTAAAACTAAAATGAAACTTTCAAAGTGTCAAGAAAAAAAAAAAGATGTTACCTTCAAAGAAACAGCAATAAGATTGACAACTACTTGTCAATAGAAATGAAGAAAGCCAGAAGACAATGAAATGATAATTTTAAAGAATTAAGGTCATTTTTTTACACATTTTATCGATTTATTACAGAGAGGAAGGGAGAGAGATAGAGAGTTAGAAACATCGATGAGAGAGAGACATCTATCAGCTGCCTCTTGCGAGATGTGCCCGCAACAAGGTACATGCCCTTGACCAGAATCAAACCTGGGACTTTTCAGTCCGAAGGCCGATGCTTTATCCACTGAGCCAAACCGGTTACGGCATGGGTCATTTTTTAAAAGACACCCTAAAATTTGTTCCAGCAAAAGTTTTTAAAAAATAAGGTTAAGTAAAGATTTAATAATGACTGCAAACAAATATATATAATTAAAAAGAAGCAGGCCTGTAATAGGAATACATAGAATTTCTGAGACATGGAAATGAACTGCAGATGGAACCAGAAATGCAAGAAAAAAGAAAAACAAGCACCAGAATGAGTACATTTATGATTAAACTAGAGGCCCGGTGCATGCATGGGGGAGGGGTGTTCCTCAGCCCAGCCTGCGCCCTCTTCAAATCTGGGACCTCTTGGGGTATGTCCAACTGCCAGTGTAGGCCTGCCTGTGGGATTGGGCCTAAACCGACAGTCAGGCATCCCTCTCAGAATACGGGACTGGTGGCTCCTAACCACTCACCTGTCAGTTTGCCTGATTGCACCTGACCGCTTCTGCCTGCCATCCTGATCACCCCCTAACCGCTCCCCCGCTGGCCTGATCGCCCCAATTGCCCTCCCCTGCTAGCCATCTTGTGGCAGCCACCGAGGCTTTATTAGGGTTTAAAATAATACTGACTTTATTAAAAATAATAGTAATCTTTCATTGGGGTTTACAAGTAAGCAGGGTTATGATAAATAAAAAAAATGATAGGCAGAAAAGTTAACTGGAATAAAGAAGTTAAATGATCGCTGTAACTGGCTTGGCTCAGTGGATAGAGTGTCAGCCTGTAAACCATAGGGCCCCGGGTTCGATTGCTGTCAAGGGCACATACCTTGGTAGCAGACTCTTCCCCAGCCCCAGCCCTGGTCAGGGCTCATGTTGGAGGCAACCGCCAGTCGATATGTGTTTTTCTCACATTAATGTTTCTATCTTTCTCTCTCTTCCACTCTCCCTAAAAATCAATGGAAAAATATCCTCGGATGAGGATTAACAAACAAACAAAAAAAATGTTAAATGATTTAAGAATATAGGGTAATTGATAAACGTGTATATTAGGGACAATAACTCAAGCATTAATATCTTAATCTAGAGAAACTACTAAAAGAAGAGTAAAAGGATGTATAACAAAATATTTAAGAGAGGTGAAATGGTATAATATAAAATAATAGATTCATGAATTACTACATCATCATTAGTTATACTACTATATATTCTATACCTTTTTTTAATATAAGAAAGAGTTTAAGAAACCAACTACTATTACTGCAATATTTTTAATATGCATTTTTATTGATTTCAGAAAGGAAGGGAAAGGGAGGGAGAGAGAGAAACACCAATGATGAGAGAGAATCATTATTCAGCTACCTCCTGCACAACCCCTACTGGGAATAGAGCCCACAACCTGGGCATGTGCCCTAGACCGGAATTGAACCCAGGACCCTTCAGTCCACAGGCTGATGCTCTATCCACTGAGCCAAACTGACTAGGGCTGTTACTGCATTTTAATTCAGGTCTTCTTATATTTCTAAGCAATTATACTTTACATATTTCAAAAGATATTAAACATTCAATAAATATTGTTCCTGTGATACCGATAGTTATTCACAGGATGCTTTAGGTCTGACCACTGGCTCACTCTCATGTGCATCACTTGGCATTCCAAAGTAGTGGCTGACTGTAAGATTCTCTCTGGATTGTCCCAATGTATCTCTTGCAAAAATGCAGCATTTTTTTTGCAAGCTTTATAATGTATGAAAGGATTGCAATTATGAATTCTAGATATGGTACAGATTCTCTCTCTCTCTCTCTCTCTCTCTCTCTCTCTCTCTCTCTTTCTCTTTCTTTCTCTCTGATTTGGTAATGTCACTTGCAGACTTCTGTCTCATTATTTTGGAAGACTATTCTTATCATTTTAAAAAGGACCATTACAATTTTGATGTTTCTTTATTACTTAGTTGTGCTTGTTTTCCCCAAATTTATTGGCTTGCATGGAATTGAGTTTGGTTAATTACAATTATATTCTAAATCCGTAAGACATTCTGACATTGTATGTAAACTCTAAAAAAAAAATTATCACTATTCTTTTCACCTGAAAATCCTAAATATTCTTTCAAATAAAATTGAATGTCAAGAAACTAAAGAGCAAGTCATCAAGTTTTGATAAAGATAGAAAATTATCGAAACTCATCCCCTGTGAAACAATGTGAATAACCAAAAGAAATCTGGTTCTACAGGAAGGAGAAAGGTGTAAGCTTACACTGTGGATTCAGGTTCTTTAGTGTATAAATTCAAGATTTACTATAAACTTTAAATATTTTTAAAGAATAAAATAAAAAACAATGAAAAGTCAGTAACTTGAAACATTTACAAATGCAAAACAATGACATTCTGGATAATTATAAATGACTAGATGCCTGATGCATGAAATTTGTGCAAGAGTAGGTTTTCCTATGCTAAGTGAAATAAGCCAGTCAATGAAGGAAAAATACCACATGATCTCACTCATTCATGGATAATAAAGACC